GACCTTCCAGGCCTGTTCTGGCTGGATCTAATCTCCTGCTGAGTGCAGCTGGGGGCTGGGCTGAGGTCAGACATTCCGTCATGCCTGGAAAGAGGGGGTGGCAGCTCTGTCTACCTTCTATCTCAGGCAGCTGGGCACCCAGGTGTGCCCGCCTCCTGGGGAGGTCAGCAGGGGTGGTCCTTGGATGCCCAGCCAGCCTGAACTCTGTGAGGACTTACATTCTGTAGTGGTCTCCTCCCAGCAGGACAGGAACAGGGGGGATGTCTGTCTGCCTGCCTGTCTGTGCTGGGCCCAAGGCCACTTCTTGTTTGTATGAGGTCAAGATGCCACTGGAACCAGGAAAGAGGTACTGGGGGAGTTTCAAGGCCTTGAAGTTAGATCCTGGCTCAAATCCTGTGTGACCTTGAGCTGGCTCCCTTCCCTCTCCAACCCTCAGTCTCTTTCCCCAGCAAATGGGACAAGGCCTCCTTGGCAGAATTGTGGCGGGGGGGGGGGAATGAAAGTCACTTGCTTGGCACGTAGTGCTCAATAGGCGTTCATGGACTCTGAGTCTCAAACCTTCAGTGGGGAGGGGTGGAGAGGGGGCCAGTGCTGGGACAGGTGTGGACACAGGAGCCCTGACCACAAGCTCCAGAGCTTTTGAAATCTGATGCAGGTAAATGTGGGTTGCACATTTGTGCAATGTGCAATGTGCATTGTGCAATTTGCACAATGTGCACCTGCCTCAGCTTCACCCCTAAGGGAGCCAACTGGGTCCAGTCTGTTCTTGGAGCTCCAAATAAGGTCTCAGAAAAACAGGCGTGGACCTGCGTGGTCTCCGCCCTCCTGTTTGCCTGGCCTTGCAGTCCATCCTTGGAGTTGGCACCAACCTCCTACACCCCAAGCCTGGGCTTGAATCTCCATTAGACTTGTCCCATTTTAATGGCCCACGGGGCCCCGTGTTCTCCCAAGTCTTGGATATGTTGGGCTCCCTGTTCCTTCTCCAGCCGGGGGATGAGCAGTGGGGGCGGCGGGGGGGAGGCAGGCTTAGGGCACAGGGCACACAGCTCCCTTTGTGAGAGTGGCTGAGTCATATGGGCAACGCCATCCATGCCGGGCCCTGGGGCGGCTGTGATGAGAGATGGTGTTATCATGAGGCTACAGCTGCCCCCGCGCCTGTGGCCAGGAGGCTTTCCCATGGGAATGAACGGGGAGGTGTCTGGCCACAAAGCACGTGGTCTGGATCCCAGGACCCAGGTTCAAGTCCTGGCTCGGGTGCTAATGTGCCGTGAGCCTTTGGGAAGCTTCTCTTTTCGAGCCTCAGTTTTCATCTCTGTTAAATGGGATCAGTCATCACTGTTTTGTAGAGGAGATACCGGACACGAAAGGACTTTGCAGGGTTGCCTGGGTGGCTCAGTCTGTTAAGTGTCTGCCTTCGGCTCAGGTCGTGATCCCAGAGTCCGGGGATCGAGCCCTGCATCGGGCTCCCTGCTAGGCGGGGAGTCTGCATTTCCCTCTCCCGCTGCCCCTCACCCCGCTTGTGCTCTCTCATGCTCTCTCTGACAAATAAATAAATAAAATCTTAAAAAAAAAAAAAAAAAGAAGAAGAAGAAAAGAAAGGACTTTGCAAACTGTGGAGGGCCAGGCCTTTGTTGACTTTATGATAACCAGAGTGACACTGGCCAATATTTGTCACACACCTACTGTGTGCCAGGCGTGGTGCTCAGGGCTTTACAAGGCCACTCAGCTTGCAAAGGGACACATGTGGACTTGAAGTGCTCTTGTCCAATAAAAACCCACCTCCAGGCAGCCAGTGGTTGCCCGTGATCCTTCCCACGGCGGGGCACAGCTCTTCACTGTCTTCAAGGCTGGCTCACACTGCCCTGGGGGGTGGGGATTGAGGGTGGAGAAGGATGAGACCTCTCCCCCGGCTCTGTCACCGCGGGGCCCACGGGGCTCCGTCCTCGTACCCTGTCCTGGGGGCCACACATGGTGGCAAATCTGCTCCCACCTGCCCGGAAGTCCTGTTTCTGTTTCATGTTCAGGCCGCTCTGAAGAGTAGAGCCCTCATAAGGACATCAGGCCTGCTCACTTGTGCCTGGGCTGTGAGCTTTATGTATGTGGCCTTGATAATTGTTACCGTGGTGACGACGTTGTAGCCCCTTGATAGGGGAGAAGGTGGGTGGCCGGAGAGACAGTGCCTGAGTCACCCAGGTGCTGGAGCCGGGAGGAGATGCCAGTCGGCCTGAGCCCAGAGCGCAGGCTCCCAGACTCTCCTCCATCCCTTAAAATGAAGACCCTTTTGCCCCTTCACCTTTTGGCACTCCCTACCCTGCCTCTGGCCTCTGTCACCAGCCAGTAATGCGCGTGACTTTCTCTGGGCCCCTGGGGACCCCAGCCCTTCAGCCCTGAGCCCCAGCAATGTGTTTCCAGTGGCCTGTTGGAAGGCTTCCTCATTCACAGGGCCCCCCCCATCCCACTGTACCCAAGGGCAGCCTCTTCCCTGCCTCCCAGATCGGCACCCCCTCCTGCGCCCCCCATGCTTCAGGGCAGTTTCTGATATCTCTTCATGCCCCTCGCCTTCACACATGGGCTAGGGAGCGCTAGCCCTGCCTCGGGTTCTTGGACAAAAGTCTCCCCCCGAGTCTCTCCCTCTGCCTCTATGTTCTCCACTGCCCCACTGGACCGCCCCTCTACCCAGCCCACCCACGTTGCTGGCGTAAGACCCTCAAGTCCAAACCAGGGTTTCTCTTGCTGAATTACTTTGTGTCCCTAAAATACCAGTGGGACCCAGCCCACAGGTTCGGGCGGATGAAATGAGAACAATCCACCTAAAACAGAGCATCCTGCACAGAGAACCCTATGGACACAGCAGCTCTTATCAGTCCTGTTATTAGTACTAATAATAGGTGCTATTGTGATGAATAGTAATTTATTGGGTTTCATTTGTGACCCCCAGAGCACTCTGGGAGCTCTGCAATGCCAGTAATTGACTCCCAGTGTCACCCTGATGTGAGCCAGACTCAGGGCTGGGTGGGCCTGCTGTCTATCCCTGCCCTGGAGCCTGGCACAGTGCCCAGCACATAGCAGGTCTCTGAGAAGCCCGACGGTGACAGGGCGGGCAGAGCTTGGCAAGCTATCTCCAGCCTGGGCCAGTCCACCGCATAGGCCTTTCCCACGTGGCCCGAGGGGCCTGGCTCCAGGCTTCTGTGTCCCTTGCTCAGATGTCCCGCAGAAAGAGTGGTGCCTCCAACACTCCACCTGTGAGGTGCTGGTCCGCACCCTCTGTGGGGTGTGTGTGTTGGGAGGGACGGCTTCCTGCTGGCTTGGACCCCGGGGGACAGCTGAGGCTGCCCCGGCTGCCAGCTGGCCTGGCCCTGAAGGACAGACCTTGGAGAAACTGAGGCTTAGAGGTGGTAACTTGCTCAGGAACATTGCATGTCAGGGACTCCACAACCTTTTTGGATGACTCACTTCCGCTCCGTTGTTTCCTGGCCCCCCAGCACGAACTGGCCCCTCCAGCCCTGGCAATGAGCGAGTGCCCACTGTGGCCCTGGGAGGGAACAGTGGGCCAGACACGGGCCAAGTGCCCACAGTGCCTGCCTGCCGCGGGCATCGGCCACAACCCTCCCCGGGGGCTGATCGCTTGGAGAGCACAGCACTGCCTCCTGGAAGCTCTGGCCTGAGGCCTCCCTGCCCCTCACCATTTGCTTTATTGCCTTTCTCCCTGTGGCTTGATCTGTGTAGGCAGGTGAGGGGTACATCTTACCCACAGTGGACCTCTGGCCTCCTAGACTGCCTAAAAAGCTTCAATTCACGTGGCATCAGGGGACTTTTCCACGTCCCTTTTCTAGAATGCAGATCCCTGCACGAGAGAAGGGGTCTGTAGGGCCCTGAGCATCTGATGTGCTCAGGCCCCATGCTAGCTAGGGGCCTGGGAAGGCTGGATTCATGAGTGATCAGGAGCGCTGTGTGGAGCCAGACTGCCCTGGGCCTCCATCCCAACTCTGCCACTTCCCAGCCCGGTGACCTTGGGCAAGTGAATTCCCTTCTCTAAGCTGCATTTCTCTGCCTTTTGCTCTCCCCTCTTCATCACCACATTCACAGCGAATATTTATTGAGGGCTCATCAAGTGCCAGGCACTGGCCTGAGCAACGTGTTTTCCTCCTCACCACCGCCCTGTGGTGCTATGGTGATGGTGGGAGGGAAGATTCTGGAATGCAGTAAATGGTCAGTAAATGTAACCATTATTGTTATTATTGTTGCTGTCATCACTTACTCTCATCATATTGTGAAATTCCTACAGCACCTTTGACTTGGGAATCGGGTAGGGATGAGGGGAGACAGGGAGCTCCAGGCCTACAGGGTGGGCTGTGAGCCATCTGGAGCTTCCAGACTCTCAGGGAGGCTGTGAACCTTAGCAGTGGGAGGGAGCCTCTGACAGAGGCCAGTGGCCAGAAGGGAATGCATTGGGCATCAGCCCATTTCCAAATTTCTCTCTTTGGGCTTTTGGAAGCCACAGGGAATGGTTCTTCACCTGGGCCTCAGTTTCCCCTTTGGCCTAGCAGATGTACCCCCGGGGTCTTAGAATCTGGAATGGGAGTCTTGGATTGTTGAAGCTTGGGGAGCACTGAGATAGGTCCCTTTGCTGTGACAACTGAGGCTCAAGGAGGGCTCAAGGTCAGGCGGTCAGGTGGTCAGTTGTGCGTGGCCACATGCCAAGCCACTTGACACCCCGCCCCCCCTTCTCCAGTGCTTTCCGCTCTGCCGGTCAGCGCCGGCTCCCGTCTGCTGCCAAGGAGGCTGGACTCTCCTTCAGGAAGGGGCAGTTGTCGCCTGGGCCTGGGTTGGGGGGGAGAGACAGCATCTGAGGGGCCTGTTGCCGTGGCAACCCTGGTTTCTCTGCGGGAACTTGGGGGAGAAGAGCCCCCGGTGTGGGGGGGGAAGCGACAGATGGAGGGCGGGGAGGCAGAGGCAGAGGCAGCCCCAGCGGGGGCTGTCTGTCCACAGAGCCTGGCACCTGTCTGCCTGGATGGGGGGTGAGGCTGAGGTGCCCCCTTGCCCGGCGCTGAGTCATGGGCATCCCCCAGGGTCACTGCCAGAGCTCTCTTGGCCCTGCCCCCTCCCAGCCTCCCTCTGAGAAATCCGTGACTCACGTAAGGTCCCGTCATCCCAGCCAAGCTAGGGAAGAGGGAGGAGCCCGGCTGGGGCAGGAGGGGGGCGTCCCCCCTGCAAACACACGCTGCCGCCTCTGCAGCTCCCTGCCCGCTTGCTCTGCTGCAAGAGAGGAGCTGGGAGCCTCCCACGCTCACCAGCCCTCCCACTGGGGGCACCCGGACCCCGGTGTCTGTGTGAAGCCTCCAAGGTGAATCGTGAAAGGCATTCCAGCTGCCTGGCCCCACATAGGACCTTCCACCGGCACCAGGTACCAGATCAAGGGTGTGACAGCGGGAAGGAGGAAGGATGCGGTGTGTGTGGTGGAGGGTAGGCTGGACTTGGGAGGTCTCTCGGTGGCAGCCAGCCCCGATGGACTATGTGGTGCGGGGTCTCCAGGGTTGGCCAGGATGGACAGGGAGGTGGCTCAGGAGGGGATGGGGCTCCAAGGCTGGAATCTCTCAGAGCCACTAGTCATTTGTTACTAGAGAAACTGAGGCCCAGGTTGGTATAGTCACGAGGTCCAGCAAGCTATGGTCTGCTCTCTGGTCCACTCCTGCTCCCACTACACAGATGGGGGAACTGAGGCTCCCAAGCCATGTATCCAGTCTAGCAGTAAAGGGCCAGGGTCCAGCCTCGGGGAGGAAGGGCTTTGTCTACAGATGCCCAGGGCTGAATTCAGGGTGCCCAAGTGAGTCAAGGGCAGTCTGGCTCCTCACCACACAGGCCACTGTGGTCCCAGCTGTGGGGTCTGAGAGAGAGTGCAGGGAAGTAGGGGCAGATAGATGGGGGAGCAGAAGCTGCAGGCGGAGCCCCCTGCCCACTAACCACCAGACCCCGGTGCTTCCATCTGTGTGGCACTGATAGGAATTTCTCCCCAGGCGCTACCGCAGCGCCTGCCCTGCTCCAGCAAGGGGGGTCTACTGGTTCCTCTTCTCTCCTCTTCCCCAACCAGCCTCCTTCCTGCGGGACTGAGCTGGGGTCTCCCGTGGCCCCTCAGGAGGGACTGGTGCTCGTTTTACTGAGGAGGGTTGGGGGGGTGCCTATATTGAGACAGGCACCTCTCAGCCCTCTACCCCAACTCCCATCCTGCTTGGTGGGGTGGGTAGGAAGAGCCTTTGTGGCTCCAGAGGGCCAAGGAAGTTATTCATGCAAGCATTTATTGGGTGCCTTCTGTGTGCCTGATATTCCGGGGGGGTGGGGGCAATGAATGAGACAATTAAGGTGTCTTAGAGCTCCTGGGTGGCCCAGACGCAGAGCCAAGCTCCTGCCCCCTCACTGTGAGTACCCTGAGGGCAGAGGTGCTTTCTTGGGGTTGGAGACTGAGTGGGAAGAAGCCTCTCCTGTCAGTGAGAGCCACGAGCTGCTGAGTTGGTTCCCCAGAGCCCAGGCCAGGGTCCTATGGGAACTCCCCTGCCAGTGTCTAGAGGATGGACTAGTTTGGGGGACAGACCTAATCCCCCTTTGCGGCAAGGACCCTGGGGATCTGAGATACAGATCCACCTCAGTCATAGCACCTCGCCTTGCCTCTCTCTCTGGGCCTCAGTTGTCGCAGCTGTGAAATGGGTGTGTAGAGGTGACGATAGCTGTCCTGTCTCCTGTGGCCCTGGGGCTTGGCTGCAAGAGTGTCAGCAGCTTGTGAAGGACACCAGTCCGGGCACGGTCTGTTGGGGAGAGTCCGGGGGAGACGCCGTGCGAGGCAGCCTGCGTGCGCTCTCGATGCTGGCTTCAGGGTCCTGGGCCACTGGACGGGGGCTGGTCAGCCTGGCTGCGACACCCCGCCTTGTCAGGGACACAGCTAAACGAGACAGTGAGGATCTGAAGCTGAGGAGTGACATAAAGTTGCTCGTGGAGGGGAAGAGCTTTCTGAGCTGGGAAGACCCGGCTGAGCTTAGAGACCAGGGGGGAGGGGTGAAAGGGTTGATGCACATATATGAGGATGGGGTGGGGGGCATTTTGGGCAGAGGCCACCGCATGGGAAAGGTTTGGGAAGGACGAGAGCGGGGAGATGGGCCAGGTGATGGCACTGGAGACCTGCCATGGGTCACTGTATGGGGTCTGGAGCGCCCAGCCGGCAGGTCTCACTCTGCTCTGCAGGCGGAGGGATGGCCTTGCGGCCTGCAGCCAGGTCAGCAGGGTGCCAGGTGGGGGCTGGGTGCTCTGGCCGTGACCCCCACAGGATGGGGAGGGTAAGGCTGTGACGGGGTGGCCTGGCTGTGGGGTTCATCGCTCGCTCACTCGTGCTTGGAAGGCAGCTTCATGGCTGTGGGGACAGAGGGGGAGACGGCCGCCCGGCAGAAGGGAGGGCAGCTGAAAGAGGCAGGGTCT